AGCGTCCTCTGATGACTTAGTGGCTCCACGTGGGGGTCATTGGTAAGGTCCTTCCAAGGTCCTGCCCACCAGGAACTCCCTCCAGCATTCTCTGGGTGTCCTGGGTGTGGGTCCTGCTGCCCCTGCCCCTGCCCTCTGCAGCTATCTGGGTTACTGGTTATAGGGAACCTAGATCTGTCCTTCATTTACTCAGAGGTCATTCCTGTTAACATGTTGATATCTTTTTTTTCCTTTTTTTTTTTTTGAGCTGGAGTCTCACTCTATTGCACAGGCTAGAGTGCAGTGGCGTGATCTCAGCTCACTGCAACCTCTGCCTTCTAGGTTCAAGCGATTCTCCAGCCTCCTGAGTAGCTGGGATTACAGGCATGTGCCACCACATCCGGCTAATTTTTGTATTTTTAGTAGAGATGGGGTTTCACCATGTTGGCCAGGCTGGTTTTGAACTCCTGACCTCAAATGATCCTCCCACCTCGGCCTCCCCAAGTGCTGGGATTAAAGGAGTGAGCCATTGTGCTCAGCCCTTTTTTTTTTTTTGAGACAGAGTTTTGCTCTTGTCACCCAGGCTAGAGTGTAGTGGCACAATCTCAGCTCACTACAACCTCTGCCTCCCAGGTAGCTAGGATTATAGGTGCCCACCACCACACCTGGCTAATTTTTGTATTTTTAGTAGACAGCGTTTCACCATGTTGGACAGGCTGGTCTTGAACTCCTGACCTAAGGTGATCTACTCTCCTCTGCCTTCCAAAGTGCTGGGATTACAGGTGTGAGCCACTGCACCCAGCCGATTATCTTTTCTTTCTTTTTTTTTTTGAGATGGAATCTCCCTCTGTCGCCCAAGCTGGAGTGCAGTGGTGCGATCTTGGCTCACTGCAACCTCCGACTCCCAGTTTCCAACGAGTCTCCTGCGTCAGCCTCCCAAGTAGCTAGAACTACAGGCGCCTGCCACCACACCTGGCTAAATTTTTGTATTTTTTAGTAGAGATGGGGTTTCACTGTGTTAGCCAGGATGGTCTTGAAAATCTTGAATGTAATAGAGATCCGGTCTCACTCTGTTTCCCTTGCCTCAAGCAATCCTCCCACCCTGGCCTCCAAAGTGTTGGGTTTACAGGTGTCAGGCGCCAGGCCTCTCCTTTTTTTCTTAACCAGAGTGGGGCATGGTTTTGTCTCCTGAGGTTTCCACTTAACATTGTGCACATAGCACTTCACTTCCAGTGGCTACATAATGTTCCTTTGTGTGGGTGAGCAATTGTCCTGCCTTTGAACATTCACATAGGTTGTTACAGTTGCTAGGAGTAACTTCTGAATGAATATTTTAGTCATATACATCTTAGTTTGATTTCTGACTGTATCGCCTAGATTCTGTGTAGGAGAATGGGCAGGTCAGAAGGGTGCGGCCTGCTGTGCAGCCAGGCGCTAAGGACTAGGTGCTGTAGTTTTACCCCGGCCCCTCCTGATTCCTGGTGAACACACAGCATCAGATAGGCATATCCCTCCTCATCGGAGGGCTGGGAGTGTGGGCTCTGCAGTTGCATTCTGCTTCAGAACTGCTTGTGACTTCACTGTGGAATGTCTGACTGGACAGAAGCCTGCTGTATACCTCCGTGTCCCCATCTGTAGAAAGGATGCTGATGGTACCCACCCCCAAAGTTGTTTTGAGGACTAACCACGATAATACATGTAAAATGCTCAGAAGAAAGTGTGGCAAACAGAACTTAATAAATGTTATTTTTACTGGAGAAAAATGGCATTTTATTTATTTTAAACTACAGCATTTAAAGTTAGATGGAGATGGCTGTAGGAGGACAGATTGAGTCGCTGCCCTTGAGGTCACCCCACCACTGTTCCCCTCCCTTTGTAGAGAAATAGAAACAGCCTTCTTCCATCCCTCACCTGTTGCTGGGGTTCCATGCTGGTTGGAGCGAGCTGCGTTTTCCTGAGTTGCATGGCAGGAGAGCATTGGTGACCACTTGCCTGGTGTGGGCTAGCTCCCTGTTTGCCTGTGGTCAAGGACCAGTGTGGGCAGAGCCTTTGGGCATGGGTTGGTGGTGTGAGGACACCAAGAATTCCCTCCGCCACAGGGCCTCCCCTGTGAGTCACCCGCCGGACTCCACAAAGTGCTTCACGCTCCTGTCTGGTGTGGGGCCCTCAGCCCTTGCAGGTGGGCCCATGTCATTAGCCTCATTTTATAGAAGAGCCGTTATGGGTCGGAGAGGGGTGGCTTACCCATGGGAAAGCAGTAAGCCTAGAACTCGACTGGGGCATTGGTGTTGCTACTCCACCACAGTTGTCCTTAGTGGTGGCAGCCTGAAGGGTGGGGGAAGGTAGCAGCAGTCACTCCATAACACCCCCATCTCCACCTGGTTTTCTGTGCTGGGCCTGGCTTTGTGGAGTTTCCTGGGGTAAGAGGAAGTTTCTACCGAATGTTCTTTGCCAGTGAACACAGCTGACTGAGGGCGGTATCCCTTTGCGAATGAGCTGGTTGGATTGTGGCAGCGTCTCACAACTTTCATCTGGGGGCCTGGAGAGAGCTGTTCCTGCTTGCCACGTGAGACAGTGTATGTGCACTCGTGAGCTGGCTGTACCTGTCTCAGTGCATTCCCGGGCTCCAGAGCACACGCTGCCGTTTAAAGGTAGCTTAGCTTTTGTTTGGGATCCTTTCTCTTGCTGGCTGAAGTGTTCAGCTGCATGACAGCATCTTGACCACAGGAGGCGCCCTGATTTTCATCTTTTTTTTTTTTTTTTTTGAGATGGAGTTTTGCTTTTGTCGCCCAGTCTGGAGTGCAATGGTGTAATCTCTGCCCACTGCAACCTCTGCCTCCTGGGTTCAAGTGATTCTCCTGCCTCAGTCTCCTGAGTAGCTGGGATTACAGGTGCCTGCCACCACACCCGGCTAATTTTGTAGTTTTTTTTTTTTTTGAGACGGAGTTTTGCTCTTGTGACCCAGGCTGGAGTGCAATGGCGCGATCTCGGCTCACCACAACCTCCGCCTCTTGGGTTCAGGCAATTCTCCTGCCTCAGCCTCCTGAGTAGCTGGGATTACAGGCATGCGCCACCATGCCCAGCTAATTTTTTTGTATTTTTAGTAGAGACGGGGTTTCACCATGTTGGCCAGGCTGGTCTCGATCTCTTGACCTCGTGATCCACCCGCCTCGGCCTCCCAAAGTGCTGGGATTATAGGCGTGCACCATCGCGCCCGGCCTAATTTTGTTGTTTTAGTAGAGACGGTGTTTCACCATGTTGGCCAGGCTGGTCTCGAACTCCTGGCTTCAATTGATCCTCTGACCTTGGCCTCCTAAAGGGCTGGGATTGCAGGTGTTAGCCATTGCGCCTGGCCTGATTTCTGACTTGATTTCTCTTCTGTGTGTCAGGGAGCTCAGCCTTCCTATATAGTTTTGTCCCCAAAGTTAGAGTTGGGCCTTCTAATTCAGTAGATAGTTAAGGCACTTGAAAAAGGGGACACACTTCATTTGGCTTTGAAAGGCTTATTTTATGACCCAGTGACCATTGGTTGAGAACACTTTATGTGTCTTCTGTGTTACTTAGTTATGAAAGTGCTTACAGCTGGCTTCAAGACCTGCTCAGGTGCATCTTGTGGGTGAATGCTACAAATCCTGAAAGCAAGCCTCTGCTTGCCGTCTGGCTGCCTGAATTTCAGATGAGAAATCTGAGCCACAGAGAGCTGAGGTAACGTGCCCAGGGACTGACTGGGAGCAAGTGGCGGGGGCGGGGGGTACTGATGTTGCACTTGGAACAGTCTTGTCTGTTTGAGGCCCAGGACTAGTTCAAGTGCAAACGGCTTGGCCAGAGACGGTTAGTAACTAATGACTAATCTTCTGATCTTTTTACCGAGGTGATACTTTGGATTGAATTCTTCCTCAGGTTTGTAGGGGGAAAAAAGAACCTTCTTAGGAGCCAAGATGTGTTTAAGTTATCTAGTTGCAATTGCTCAAATACCGGATGTGTAGAGAACAGTGGCCTCCCCCTGAGGCTGAAAGACTGACCCTCAGTCTTTGGAAGCTTCCAGCTTCTCAAGCTCATTTCTTATGTAAAATCCTTGCTTAATTTGCACTTTATCCTTCTTAAAGAGATAAAGATAAAGGGGGATCTGAGAAGCACCGGTCAGTTGTCACCTGCCCTGGTGCTGACCCGGCAGTCTGCTCTTCTCAGTCCTGGGCCCCTGGTAGGTGTTTGGTGAATTACCTGTTTGGGGAATGAATGGATACATCACTTTCCATTGTAAAGACGTTTGAACTACATTTCAAACTAGAGGAGGAAAATCCATCCGTGATTCTTCCACCCTCACACAATCCCTCAGAACCGTTTTGGGAAATAAAGCTCCTCCACCTTCCCCATGTGGACCCCAGAGCCCAGGGAAGCCACAGACTCTGCTCACTCAGCTCAGGGCTGCCCAAGCTGTGCCTTCTTCCATAGACACTTGCTTTGGCCTCCTGAGACCTGCAGGCTGTACCACCTTGACACTTCCCCGTCTGCCCCGGACAAGACTGCCTTGATACCAGGTAGTTAAGTCTCTGGAAGACTCTTGGTGACTCTTGATGTGAGACTTGATGGGAGGTGGAGGAGAAACCCACAGGTCATCTCTTTTCTTTTGCTACCAAATTCCTTTGCATTTTAATCTATTTGCTAATTAAATGATTCCTACATTTAGCAGTTTAGAGTGTGGGATGCTGGATATTTTGATGTTGACATTTTTCTAAACACTTGTTAGTGACTAAACAATGTGCTGCATCCTTCTCAGTTGAGCCTGGATTTGCTTTTTGGTGGATATGAAAATGGAATTAGATCTCAAATTAATTTTCCCTTGAGAGTTTCTACTCTTTTTTTTTTTTTTTTTTTTAAACACAGAGTCTCGATCTGTCTCCCAGGCTGGATGCAGTGGCGCAGTCTCTGCTCTGGAAGTGCTGGGATTATAGGCATGAGCCTTGGTGCTACTTCTTGTTTCTACTTCTAAGAGGAGACTGCTGAACCTCGTACTCAGAAAAGTTAAAGAAAGTGAAATGGGGTGCGAGTGTGCTCTTTGTGAAATTCCACCATGGCGTACCGTGGCCAGGGCCAGAAAGTGCAGAAGGTTATGGTGCAGCCCATCAACCTCATCTTCAGATACTTACAAAATAGATCGCGGATTCAGGTGTGGCTCTATGAGCAAGTGAATATGCGAATAGAAGGCTGTATCATTGGTTTTGATGAGTATATGAACCTCGTATTAGATGATGCAGAAGAGATTCATTCTAAAACAAAGTCAAGGAAACAACTGGGTCGGATCATGCTAAAAGGAGATAATATTACTCTGCTGCAAAGTGTCTCCAACTAGAAATGATCAGTGAAGTGAGAAATGGTTGAGAAGGAAACATTTTGTTTTTAGATGTCCTTTGTCCAGTGTGAACATTTATTCATATTGTTTTGCTTGCCCTTATGTTATTATTACAAGATGTCAATAAATGCTATGGGATTGTTTGTATTAAAAAAAAAAAAAGAAAAAGAAAGTGAAATGGAAGTGGGATTACAGGCGTGTGCCACCACACTCGGCCAGTTTTTTGTATTTTTTAGTAGAGACGGGTTTCACCATGTTAGCCGGGATAGTCTCAATCTTCTGACCTTGTGATCCGCCTGCCTCGGCCTCCCAAAGTGCTGGGATTACAGGCGTGAGCCACCATGCCCGGCCCCAGGTTCTTATATACACATTTTATGAAACAAATTAAAATTCTCAGCAAATACCCAGTTTACAAATGGGCTGCATTTTTACAAGTTTCAATTTGTTTAAAACTCAGCGTTTGTTTTCTTATCAGAGGTGTGGAAAAAAGCACCAGGACCAGCACCTGGTGGTCCCATCTGCCTGTGGGAGTAAGTAGGGGCAGTGACTTGTTTTTGAGTGGTGTCGGGGGACGCGAGAGCCACTCGTCCAGAGACCTGGGGGGTGGTACCTGGTAGCTTTAAGGACCTAAACTGTTGATGGCACTTATTCTCTTGGCCAGATTCCATTTAGAACATTGGTCTTTCCTTGTTCTCAGTAGACCTGTGCCATGGCCCGTCTTTCACATTTCTCAGCGCTGATGAAGTCCCAGAAACTTGTCCTTACAGTGGAGTAGAAGGTAGAAGAGGTCAGAAGGGGTCCTGTCCTGAGTGGGGAGATTGATTGGTTGCTAGGACTGAGAAGAGGGTGTGGAAGGATGTCGTTGGTAGGAGGCTCCTGGCGGGAAAGAAGCTGCACTGACCTGGGCAGGCCTTGGCCATGAGGAGCCCCAGGGAGCCACTGTGTGAGGCTGCTGTTGAGGTGGGCCACAGCTCCCTCCCTTCCCTTAGGTGTGGGTGCCTGCACCTGTGTGTGTGTAGGAAAGCCCAGTGATCAGATCATAATCAGAGAATTGGGGGCTTGCGTGGTGACATCACACCTGTGAGGTGGGCACTGCTGTTTTTGGTGGACTTTTCTTTTGAAGAGCTCCTTTTTTTTTTAAAGTGAGGCCTTGTTCTGTTGCCCAGACTGAAGTACAGTGTCTTGATACAGCTCACTGCAACCTTGAACTCCTGGCTCAAGTGATCCTCCCACCTCAGCCTGTACGTGGGACCACACATGCACACCACGATGCCTGGCTCATTATTTTTATTTGTTTATTTATTATTTTGAGGCAAGGTTTTGTTCTGTCACCCTTGCTGGAGTGCAGTGATATGTCCACAGCTCCCTACAGACTCAGCCTCCTAGACCACGTAATTCTTCCTCTTCGGCTTCCCTAGTAGCTGGGATTACAGGTGTGTGCCACCAAAGCCAGCAAATTTTTTTTAAGTTAGAGAGGGGGTCTTGCCACGTTACCCAGGCTGGTCTCCCACCTTATGGGCTCAAGCAGTTCTCCTGCCTTGGCCTTCCAAAACGGGGAATTACAGGCATGAGCCACCATGCCTAGCCCATTTTATATGGGAGGACAAGGGTAGTAGACCGGCAGACCTAGGGTCTCACTGCTTTTTCCAGAGATTTAAATTTCAGAAGGTATCGAGTAACCGGAAGTATTTACTTAGCACAGTTTTGGGTCACCACATGGGTGGCAGATTGACCGGGCTGTGCAGGAAGTCAGTGACTCATCCCCAGGCCCAGAGTTGCTGGCCTCCCTGAGGCTGTGCTGCCTCCACAGGACTGAGTGCTGGAAGAGGGTAAGTTTCGGGAGCCTGGCAGGACCCTGCCCTGCACGTGGGCCCTGGCAGCGCAGGATGCTGTTCATGCGGTTTAATCACCACCTAATAATGCTACAAAGTCTGCCCTTTAGAACAAGAGGAGCACAAACAAACACTGACTTCTCACACTCAAAGATGGCGTTTTTTTGGGCTTTCCATTTCACAGTTGATGCTTAGAAGTGCTTTAAAAGGTAATACTGCACTGGGCTCAGTGGCTTACGCCTGTAATCCCAGCACTTTGGGAGGCTGAGGCGGGTGGATCACGAGGTCAGGAGATTGAGACCAGCCTGGCTAACACAGTAAAACCCCGTCTCTACTAAAAATATAAAAAATTAGCTGGGCATGGTGGTGCGTGCCTGTAGTCCCAGCTACTCAGGAGGCTGAGGCAGGAGAATGGCTTGAACCCAGGAGGCAGAGGTTGAAGTGAGCCGAGATTGCACCAGCGCACCCCAGCCCGGGTGAAAGATCTCAAAAAAAAAAAAAAGATATATATATATATATCTTTTTTTTTTGCTGTAGAAATAAAGCTATTTATTAAACCACATCCATGGTGGCAAGTTATGATGGCCCTGGAAAGGAGGCAGGAGCACTGTGTTGGCCTTCTAAACGTCGTCCCGCCAGGAGGGACCCTGAGAGGTGCTTGGCTGACGTGCTGTGGCCGAGGCAGGAAAGCCCTTGCAGAATTCCACAAAAGCGGAAGGCTACCCGTAGACAGGTTCCGCGGCAGTGGTCTGCCGGACAGAGATAGGTACCTGATGGTGTGGCTCTGGGCCGCAGGTTCGACTGGCTTCAAGAGGCTCCTTCAGGAGGTGCCTGGACCCTAATGGATGGCCCCAGGTCTCACACTTCCCCCTTGAGGTTTGCAGAGGGTGCCAGAGGTGACCCCAGGAAGGGTATTCTGAGGCGCCGGTGTCCCTGTCCAGCAGCCAGGGGCTCTGTCTGGAAGTGGCCATGCCATGGCCATGCTGGACAGTTGTGAGCCCAGAGCTGCCCCTGCCTCCTTTGTTCTGCTGGGAAGGCTCTGGGGCTCTCCCCACCATCTCAAATCTTTGCTCAGATACGAGCTTCCCACCAAGGGCTCTCTGATCATTTGAATTTGCACCAGCCCCGTCCAAATAGTCCTGTTCTCTTTCCCTGCTTTGTTTTTCTCATAGTAATCACCGCCATCTGACACTGTCCATTTTACCTGCTCGGTGTTTGGGAGTCTGTGTGCCCCGCTGGAATGCAGGCTTCTTGAGAGCATGGGCTTGGTTTTGTTCTTGCTGCCCCTTCAGTGCTCAGCAAGGAGTAGCTGCTCAGCCAATGCTGTGGTCTTGGTGGGACAGCATTTACTTTACATCTTTGAAGCTGCTGCCACAGAGGCTCTGCCGTGTCATGTAAGGCATGTGCTGGAAAAGCAGCATGTAGTGGGTATGTGTGTCTCTATCTCTGTTACATCATCTGTTACTGGCATTTCAAAAATCCAGAGTACTTTCTACACGTCCCTTGGATGTCGATTTCAAAGCGACTGATGTTTCTTTCTGACTCTTGAAGGCTGCTGTCTTTGACATTAGGGGAGGTGCAACTTTAAAATGTGTGGGTCAGCCTGGTGTGGTGGCTCAGCTGTGTAATCCCAGCACTTTGGGAGGGTAAGGAGGGCAGATCACTTGAGCCCAGGAGTTCGAGACCAGCCTGGGTAACATGATGACACCCCATGTCTATAAACATGCAAAAATTAGCTGGACACGCTGGTGCACACCCATGGTCTCGGGAGGCTGGGGTGGGAGGATCACTTGAGCCCAGGAGCTTGAAACTGCAGTGACCTATAATCATGCCACTGAGATTATAGGTCACTGCAGTCTCAAGCTCCTGGGCTCCTGAGAAAGAAAAAAAGTGGCCAGGAACAGTGGCTGTTGCCTGTAATTTCATCACTGTGGGAGGCTGAGGCAGGAATATAACTTGAGCTCAGGAGTTTGAAACCAGCCGGGAAAACAGCAAAACCCCATCTCTATTTTTTAAAGTTTACATATATATAATTTACATATCTATAACTTTTGAATGAAAAAACTGTGTGGTACATGTTTAGCTATTTTTTGGGGATTTTTTGTTTGTTTTTTTGAGATGGAGTCTCACTCTGTCACTTAGGCTGGAGTGTAGTGGCGCAATCTCGGCTCACTGCAACCCCTGCTTCCCGGTTTCAAGCAATTCTCCTGCCTCATCCTCCCGAGTAGCTGGGACTTCAGGTGCCCGCCACCACGCCCAGCTAATTTTTGTATTTTTAGTATAAACGGGGGTTTCACTGTGTTGGCCATACTGATCCCGAATTCCTGACCTAGTGATCTGCCTGCCTCAGCCTCCCAAAGTGCTGGGATTACAGGCATGAGCCACTGTGTCCAGCCATGTTTAGCTGTTACTACATTTCACTTTCTGGATGTGTGACCCTCCCTGCTCTTTCCGTGCCTTCTAAGCTGTTATTGCTTTTCCTGGGCCAGTGATGCAGCTCCCCATCTACTCTGCCTGAGCCCCTGGCCAGCCGAGGGATGCCCTAGACTCTCCCAGCACCCGCCTGTCTCTGCATAGCCACCCCACCACTTTAACGGGATGGTTCTGTAGGGAGGTCAGGCTGCATGTCAGCTTTCTGTGGGCAGGGACCATGTCCCCTTGCTAGCAGCCTTATTTGCTGAGTAATTGAATGAATAGTGTCGTTAAGTATTTCCTTTAAGAGACTTTGATAAGCAAAATAGTGAGTATTTTCTTTTTATTAATTATCTATTTTTAAAGCAGGGTCTCTCTCTGTTGCCTAGGCTGGAGTGCAGTGACGTGATCTCAGCTCATTGCAATCTTGACCTCCTGGACTCAAGCAGTCCCCCTATCTTAGCCTCCCAGGTAGCTGGAACTATAGGTGCACACACCACACCTGGCTAATTTTTGTGTTTGTTTTGTAGAGACAGATCTCACTGTGTTGCTCAGGCTGACCTTGAACTCCTGGGCTCAAGTCATCCCCCTGTCTTGGCCTTCCATAGTGCTGGGATTTACTGTGCCTGGCTAGACTATGTTCTTATGGTTTTGGAGAGAGTGGTGTGCCATGGATGTCACTCTGCGTCCTGTGCCATGTGCATCTGAACAGGGTAGAGGCCTCACATCTCCCCATAATGCCTCCAGGACTGTGGACTTGGCGTTGTCAGATAGGCCGTGAGTTGTGT